TCCTCTGATTGCCCTAGAGCAGCAGGAATTTCTGGCTGATGCAGTCACAAGTACCAAGAGAGCTCACACATCACCACTGAGGCAGCCACAACACCCAGGAAAAGCCAGTCCTCAAAAATTGTTCACTCGGGGCTCCACAGCAGCAAGTGGTCACTGGGCTTTCCCATGGGGAAAAGAAGGTTTTGCAAACGTTTTTGGAGCCATTTATAGTTTTAGAGTACAGAGAGTGGCAAATGTTGTTTTTGTGCTACCAGGCAAATCTGTGGGTAGAGATGCTGGAAATGACTCAGAAAACACTTTGTTAGTTGTTAGATCTGGTGGCCAGAATTAACCTTTGATCGTTTGTTTGTTCCTTTTTTAAATGGTTATCCAATGTCTCCATCTTCAAAGGCTCTATTGGGATCCACCTGCAGTGGTGGGAAGTAGGAGACCACCAGGTGATGGTGCTCAGGGCTCCCAACACAGGCACTGGAATCACCCACGTTATGGGTCTCCCCTTTTCCAGGAAAACCTGCCCATGGCAGCTCCTGGTAATGGATTTGTGAACAATTTTTAAGTTAGATACTTGTTTTAACATAGCTGCACTGATGAACATTCTGCATATAATTATGGATATAATAATAAGAACCATCATCATCATCATCACTGAGAATAAAATAATAAGAAGCTGGGTTTTCCTTACCTTTTTGGAAAGCAGGCAAAAGCTATACAGTAGGTGGAAGAGTGTACCAAGTAACAGACTTTTGAACACTCTTTCTTACTGGTGGTATGCAGTCTAAGGGAAAGTAAATACATTGGTATGTAGGATCGCTCTGAGCACAAGAAACTCTTCCCAGCCTGCCCTGCCATGAGCCCGTGACACTAATCCGGCTGCAGAGCTCGGATTAGAGCAGTGCAAAGCTGAGAGGCATCAGCACAGGGATGAGCTCTGGGTAGGCAACAAATGAACCAGTCACAGAGTTCAGGTACCTCTGAACATGGGAGCAGCTGCTCACACAGCAGCAGCTCTGCTTGGTTGTTTGTTTTTTTTCCTTCCTCTCCCCTGAACCAATTCGGGGACATTTTGGCTTTAGTTTCAGTTCTGCCAGTCCCTCCTCACCAACACAGCCTCACAGGCTCCCCAGCATCATCAACAACCATTTAGTGCTTTCCTCAGAAAGATGGAAGAGGCAACATGACGTCAGTGGTGGTAAGGATGAGCAGGAATGAGCACACATGACCTCAGAGGTGTTCAGGATGAGCAGGAATGAGCACACATGACGTCAGAGGTGTTCAGGATGAGCAGGAATGAGCACACATGACGTCAGTGGTGTTCAGGATGAGCAGGAATGAGCACACATGACGTCAGTGGTGTTCAGGATGAGCAGGAATGAGCACACATGACGTCAGTGGTGTTCAGGATGAGCAGGAATGAGCACACATGACGTCAG